AATGGCACATGAAAGATTTTGCAGATGATATTGAATCTCTTTTGGAATGGATATATAGCCAGTTGCCTCGATCAGGGAACCTAAAGGGCATGGTTATGGAATGTTTAAAGAGAAAAACAAAAGTTCCTTTAGCTAAAATGGTAGAGATTCAAACATATGGACACGAGTTTCGTTACTTGTTGTCATTGTAAATGTGTGAAATCCATTATCTTTCGTGTAGAATAGAATAAGGTTTGGTAACTTCTCTCTCGAATCTATATACTCTCGTTTGGTTGCAACTTAAAACAAACAAACAAAAAAATCATATAGATATTTTAACAAGAAAAACAAGACAAGATTAAAATTCTATAATCCAAAATATAATGTTTGAACAAAAACAATGAAATTCTCCTCTTTTAAGTGGAAATGAATGAATATAAACTTTAGCTAAATTTGCAAGTGGAGAAGACATGTTCCGTTCATATCACCAATAAAGAAAGATGAATAATATTAGAGGGACTTGTGGACTTGTGTTACGTTTTGCATCAAATGCTGTCGGAAATATAGACTTTTTATTTTATTTTTAATACATCGGTCAAAAAAAACCAATCCCACTTATTATTAAAGGCTTCTTTTAGACCAATAGCCATTGAATTATTCTTGTTTCTTGTTACCAAAATCTAAGTGGGATCCCCGTGGATAACACTAACATGCAATGCATTAAATTCACTCGAAGAGAAACACTTTTGTAATGTCTAGTTAGATAAAAATAAATAAAAAATAAGGAGATTATTAGTAGTAGTATAAAAGTATCATAATATTATCATGTTTTTAGATTACACGAAATTAAAAACGTTACAAACCCAACCATGTAAAATACTTTAGTAACTGCGGGCTGTTACAAAATTTTCTCACAGCCACTTCAGCTACTTACTTTCTCTCCCCTTTTTCCCCTTCACAATTAAAAAAGAGCACCAAACCCACAAATATTAAAAGACAACACACAAAAGTCAAAGATACTATTATCCCTCTCAGTTCCATATATAAAATTTGTAAACAAAAAAAAAAAGGAGAAGCGAAATTAGCGGAGAGTTTTCATTTGTCTCGAACCACTTTAATTTCTTTTTTCCCCAAATTTTAGTTTTTCTTGAAACTCGCTTTTAGACCCTGAAATTCTTCCCGACAAAGGTTTGACCAAACTGCCAGTTAGAAGGAACAATGTTCCATGAAGTTGAGCTTCTACGGTCACTGCCTGTGACACGGAAAGAAAGTGACTGACCAACCAAAACTGCATTTGATTGCCAGTTTTGTCCCCAGTTCCTGCTCAAACTCATCCAACCAGTCTTAGTCCCTTTCACACTCGTCCTCACGATGTCTCCGGCTCCAGCCACGTTAGTGATCAGAACCAAGTTGAAGTAACGGTGACCGTTGATTGTGAACCTTATCCCTCCTCTCTTTCTACAAGGAACCCTACAAAAACAAAACCAACATTTCACACTCGTTAGTCGTTTACTCACTTGCGTACATGTAAAAAATATGAACATTAACATCAACAAAAACAAATGCTGCTTTTTTGAGTAAAAAGCCTTATACTACTAATACTGTTTCTAACTAAATTTAACTTTTGTAACATCGTTCATTAAAGTTTTCTATTAGTATAACTGTTAACCAGAAATTACGATTTTACCTTTAACGAAGAGAAAACACCGGTTTTTCTAAAAGTTTTGGATAACTATGGTCTTATTTTCTTGTGAATGTTGCTAAAGCCACAAACATATGTATTAATATAAGATTTTTACCTGCGGTATGAGACGGGGACAATGCCGGCACGATATTGGGCGATTCTGAGGAAGACAGGCATTGCTAGGTCGAAATGTTCACGTGGCGGGTTGCACCATCCTCCGTTGTCACTTGGCTGAGCCAAGTTGGGTGGGCAGAAATTGGTTGCGGTAATGAGGATGGAAGGACTACCTGCGTGGCACCATTGTGGGTCGTTGGCGCATTTTAGCTCAAAGCAGGCTCCACAACTCATACCATTGTTAAAAAGCGCCGTGCTCAAAGCAGCCGTGTTGGTTCCGTAGCCTTGGCTATAAAGGTTCCCGTAACCACAAGCTCCTCCTGTTAATAAATGAAAACCAATTTTTATTAAAAAAAAAATGTAATAAAGGAATATTATATATATTTATTCTCTGTTTTTATTTTTTATATGTTCTGTTCTTTTTTGTGTGTGGACTGACCCATAGTGCCGGAGGCGTCGCTACCACCGTAGAAAGTTGCGTGTGCGTTTTGCCACCCGCCGCCGGAGTAGATGCCGGGTATTTTTGCGTCGGCGAGGTTAAAGAGAACAAATGTGGTAAAGAGAATTGCTAGTTTAATGGCCATTTTTGTGCGAACTGTTAAAAGAGAGGGGTTCTAAATTACTATGAAGGGAGAAAGACGAAGAAAGAAACAAGAGCGCTTACGAGCTCTTGTTAAAAGAAGGGTTAGGTTTTTGTTATTTGGAGAAGAGGATGGTGGAAGAAGAAGGAGTGAGGTTCGGTATTTATGGAGGGAAGGAAACTCC